ATGATCTTCTCAAAAAAAAAACATGTTCCTGGTACAGCAGTCTTTTCAGGAAGTGCATGTCTAAAGTTTCAGTTGCGCTTTCATACGCAAAATGTTGTGTTTCCCTGCAAGTGTGTTACTGTTTTTCAACAAGGCAGCGCTTTTAAGGCAAAATATAGATGATGCTTGGAAAAGGTCTAGATTCAATCGTAGTTAAACTATCTTTCGAAGAAGTGCATGTTAAATCTGGACATGTTCTTTTGTGAAAAGCACTCACGAACAGCATGAAAGGATGCAGAACACTTTTCAGAAAATGCAGAGTTTGCAGCTGGAAATTGTACTCATGTCTGTTCAATATCAAATACATATTTTTCGAGAAACATAAACCATTGTGAAAAAATCAAAACATTGTCAATGGCCTGTGTGTGTATATATATATAATTATATATATATATACATGGTAGTAAATGCAACAATATAATGCAGAATTCATTGCAGGCATCAAAATCATTGATGAAAACACATTCTTGTAAGATTATATTATGTTTTGAAATATTTGGTTTGAAATGTAGCATGACCATCTCATAACCACACCAACTCATGCATAATGATGCAAAACCTTGTAAAATCAGACCTTTAGCCTTTCACCACTCCACCCCCCCATGGTAAGCCGCTCTCTTTTAATAATATCGCGTAGTAGTATATACTATGTACTGATCATTTTTTTTAACACTGGTGGATAGTGCTGTGCAATGCAGTTCAAGGCTTTGACACGGAAGAGTTGCGCGTCTCACACAGCTCTTAATACACAGTCGTGCAGTGATTTTTTGTTGTATTGTGAATCACCCTGTGTCCTGGCATGAAGTGCTAGCAGCTGCAGTGTATTTGTTCATGAACATGTCCTTTACTGCATTTTGACTTCATTTCCTGATGCCCGGGAAATGACATTAAACATGAGACATCGTTTATCTGCGATGATCATATCGGCTCAGTAAGGTACCAATCAAAAAGCAGCATTTCGCCATATTTTGCCTCCTGCTAATTCCCGTGCCTTGAGAGCAAGGCCAGACTCAAGATGCTCACTTTGCGCGGACTGACATGAAAACGATGAAAGGTTCTTGATGTTCTTCAAGTGTACAAAAGCAGCTTCTGATCTTTTGAAGGTGGCATGGCGATGCAACGCCGTGGTCGTGTCCGCGCGACAACACCGGGTCGTGCTCAGGCATGACAGAAAGTTTTTTAGAGGAAGATGCCAAAGGACCTAGGATAACGAGTAGATACAAGTAGAACAAAGTAGATACATAGATTGTTTGCCATTATATGCTGTATGAGCCATCTTTCCCAAATCTCTCCAAACTTTTCTTTTTCTTCCTGTCTGCTCTTCTGTCCACGTTGTGAGGGTGGGTCCGCAACTGGACTGAGCATCAAATGCCAGCGCTGAGTGGTTGCAGAGATGTCAATTTCCTTCTCTTTTTTTGTTTGGTGTAGGAGTATCACAGTTGCACTGGTAAAACTGAAGGTGTTGCAAGTACAGATATCAAGGTATCACACATCAACACCTCTCCCACAGCAATTACCTTCTTTGTTGCTCCAAGGAGAGGTTGCAGGAGTGTTGTGTTCGCAAGAGAGCTGTCAAGTTGTCAAGCTGGAGCTTTGTCACCCACAATTGCCCAACATTGGAACAACTTATCTTGGAATTATCTCACTAAATCTTACTAAGTCTTACTAAGTCTTACTATTGCTTGCAACAGGCATTCCTTGGAATGGCAGCAGCTACTCTCTTGCTCGTGGCCATGGCGAGCGATGCTTTTGTGACTGCCGGGCCTCTAGCGTTTCCTTTGGTTTGCACGCATTGGTGCTGTGTAATGTTTCATCCGGCGTGTTTTTTTTACTGCAGAGTCAGCAAGGTAGTGCCACCATCTGTGGTGCAGAAGCCAGGGCCAGTATCGATTGTGCCCCGATCTCAGCGTGGGTGAAAGATTTGGGGTAAGTAAATTGACAAGTGGATGATCTGATCAATTCAGCGACTTAGATAAACAGGGCAATAGAAAAAATAGGACAAGAAAAAATGCAGCTGGATACCACGTGCTTTGACACAGCACTTGTTATTCCCCTGCTGCCAACACTCTTTGAAAATTGTGTTCCCAGGCTCAACCGTGCCTCAAGGCCCTTTTTTTACTTTATTACACAGTTTGATACTTTTGCTTGGCATTGAGCTTGCTACTGTTTGCCATGTGTATATGTATGTGTCTGTATTTATATATATATATGTATATATATATATATACATATAATATATTATATATATACTATATGTATTCATAAAGTTGTGGTTCTGATTTTGGCGGTCAAAAAGACTCCGCGTGTGTTTCGCAAGGTTGCCTCCTACTACTGCTGAGCAGTCCTTTGATCGTTTGTTTGGTCTTCATTTCCCTTCTCAACCTAGTGTCAGGGCACCTGCGCAGGAGCAGGCGTGGTGACAAACAGAAGCTTAGCTCTGGCTTAAAGATAGACCACAAATACTTTGGTGAAAGGCACTCTGTGACTTGTTTTGCATCGATTGCAGAGGCAGCTTGTTTTCACCGATCCAACGGATTAGACAGGCACTCAGCACTGCAGCACTGCAGCACCTGAATGTTGCGTATTTGGAGGCCACAGGTCTACTTCGCACAACGGCCGCAACAGCTTTGTTGTGCTCGGGCCTGAAGCGTAAGTATTGCCTAGGATTACATGAGATTACTGATTTACATGTACAGGTGGACACAGATGGACACAGCATACATCAGCATACCGCGAAGGGAGTTGCCCTTGTATGCCCTTGCTACCCCCGGCTGCCAGTCATCTTTGACATCTCAGTCACCTCACTTGAACCAGGTCTGGCCGTGACAAGTGCGCGCCGTGGGTCAAAAGCTTCACCCAAAGTTCGCGTGCGCCGTCGTAAGCTCAAACACATTGCCTTTCACATGCGTGAGGCACATCGAGGCACGCCAATGAAGAAGCTTGTGTGATTTCGCATATCAGCCTACTTTTGTGAATTGTATAGAAGAATTGCTTGAGTTTCCCAGGGTCCCAGAAAGCTTAGAAATGCAAGGTTGTCTTCTAAGGTCAATGCTTGAATCATCAGGAAACTGTCTTGAGCAGGTACAAGCGGTCATGTGCAACGACGCGGCCAGAACAGCAGTCGAGGCACTTGTCTCACTCATCAAAAAGTATTTGGGCGGAATTCAACAGCTTCATTTTACGAAACTGAAATGAAATTGAGCAATGCGAGGGCCTATGAAACCCTTCCATGTTATTCTCACGTTTGGTCTCACTTAAACTTCAGCAGACAAATTTCATGTGTCAAGGCCAAAGCTCCAGCCCAAGTTACTGAGCAGGCTCATCAATATTGCCCACAGTGAACTGAGAGCTGAACGAATCGCATTATTGCAGATTTTGGCAACTTTCCCACAATATGCTTAAACAAGAGTGAACACAATCTCAACTTCAACTTCTTTCCAAATTCAAAGTATGTATAAGGCTAGTGAGTAATATTTCCCCTGCTAGCCTGGGTGAAATGCAGCTATGCCGTTTTTCTTTGCAAATGTCCTATGTCTCTCTTTCCGCTGAAGCCCAGAATTTAAGATTTCTAGCATGAAGTCAGGGGAAACATTGGTGTGATTGAAATGCTGAACGGGAGAGAAATGAAAGGACAATCATTATCACTTTCAGGACTGTGATTCGGAAATTAGTTTCTAGGAAGAGAAGCGTACAGCTGAAGCGTTTGGGAGTTGCTTACCGTTTGTTTTGCCTCAGGTGGCGCTTCTGGATCTTGAAGTTTGCCAAGAGAACCTCCCAGTAATAACCCCAGCAACTTCACAACGAAATGCCACAACATGAAGATGGGCAAGCCATAGCAAGCCCATATGCCACAAACTGTTGTGTGGATGCCAGTTATATAATCCCATGGATGTTGCTCCAAGTCTGTGTTGCCCCGCATCTTGGCATATGTCGAAATGTTCAAGTACCTGATCATCTTCAAGCAAAAGAAGAGCCAGTCATGTAACGTAGCATCTGAATTGACAGGAGAAGTGATTTTGCGACGGAGACATTTCTTTGTTTTCGCGTTCTTCAAGTCTTCTGTTTGCCAAATCTCTGTGCAGCCGCCCCTGTCATGACTCCTAGCACTGTCGACCCGACCAAGGCAGCTCCATCGGACTTTTTTGTGTGTCTGCATGGGACAACCTAAAGGAACACTGCATTCCTTCCATATCCTTCCATCATTTTCGTACATTTTCATAGTGTTGTTCTGTTGTTGAATCATGCTTATCTTTCTTCGTTTTTACATCCAGAGAAGCTTCTTTTGCCACCAAGGCAGCCATTGTAGCCCCCGTTTCCATGGTCAGTAGTCCCAGAGAGATCACTGCAGAGAAACACACAGCAAAACATAACAAAACATAATAAAACCATACAAACGGATACAAAAGGAATAATTTTCACAAATTTCAAAGCTTTCGTATGTTTTGGTAATCTCAATGAATTCACTCAACGAGTTCTTGGCTTTCTCCACCTTTGCTTAAGTCAGAGATTCTGGATGACTGGCGAGTCAAAAGTTGTTCTGATGTCTGATGCTTCAATTCGTTGGTGCTGTTGTTGAAGACATTACTTGAACTTGTGCAGAAACACAATAAGTGCTCTGAAGTGAAAAGTCCAACGATCAGTTGCAGGAAAAGAAATCAATTTGCTATCAACGCATATGTCATTCCCCCTAAAGTTTTCTTTACATTGATGCCACACTCCTCACACGAATGAGGCTCCGGTGGCAAAGCAACACCATAAGGCAAGAATGGTGGGCCAGTCGCGACACAGCCAGAGCCTTGGCCGTTTGGAGCATCAACACTGCTCCTGACGAAACCAAGGTCTCAAGCAGTTGCATCATGTGTTGCATCATGGTGCAAGGATCGACGGAACCAGAGTACCTTTTGCAATACCCTTTCCAATATTTTTTGCATTTTTCGTCATGGTTTTTGGCAACACTTCTGGCGACACGTTTGGCATCCTTTAACAAATGCCTTTAGGATCTTTATATAGGCACCTCGCAGCATGCTCCCCCAACTCTGATGCGCCCTTGGTGCAGCTGAGCTGCGCTGAGCTGCGCTGAAACTACAGGCAAACACCGCAGTGCTTGGGCTGCCAGGTCAGCCGAATGCTCAGCATGGCATGTTTTTCTTCCTCTTTTCTTGCTCTTCTTCTCACTTTCCATCCGCGTTCAAAGTCCAACTCTTTCAGTTGCTTGAACGGTGTTGGTTTTCTGCTAAGACAGCTACAGAAAACACGAACACTAGGAGACTCTACTTCGTTTTGCTACAGTTTTGCTGCCAATGAATGCCAACGAAAGTCTTATATAAGTTCTTCAATCCAACCTGCAGATCATGGCTGAAACACGAGCTTGATCGTAGGACTCCATAAAGTGTAACTAAGCAGGTGCTCTGAATCTGAGGCGTTCGCAGCAGGTGCGAAAAAGGCGCGGTCTCCCTTTATCTTTGAATTTGGAAAATCGGGATGGAAAGCGCTAGATTAGATGGGAACAACATGTCCACAGCCACAGGAAATATATAGACAGATGTGTGCAGGATATATATATATATGATATAACAAAATATAATACACTATAATATAATATAATCTAATAGGATATAATATAATATGATGTGATATGATATGGTATATAAAATATATATCAATAATATATATATACATATTCATATTACGACATATTGTTTGTGTATTTATTGCGCATATACGTGTATGTATATAGACAAACTAAATTATACAAAATATAATATTGCAAAACATATTATGTTGTATCAGATTTTATCTTCAACAATATTTTACTGTCAATGTATACTATGTTTCGCACTATAGTGTCCCGGAACGCAATTCAGGAGGCAATGTTGAATACAAGGCAATGTCATGTATGTATGTGATGTAATGTAATGTAATGTAATGCAATGCAATATAATGTAATGCAATGCAATGTAATGTAATGTAAAGTATGTATGTATGGTAATGCAATGCAATGTAATGTAATGTAAAGTATGTATGTATGGTAATGCAATGTAATGTAATGTGATGTAATGCAATGCAATGCAATGCACTGCACTGTAATGTAATGCAATGTAATGCAATGCAATGCAATGCAATGTAATGTAATGTAATGCAATGCAATGCAATGTAATGTAATGTAATGCAATGCAATGCAATGCAATGCAATGTAATGTAATGCAATGCAATGTAATGTAATGCAATGCAATGTAATGTAATGCAATGCAATGCAATGGAATGTAATGTAATGTAATGCAATGCAATGCAATGTAATGCAATGTAATGCAATGCAATGCAATGTAATGTAATGTAATGCAATGCAATGCAATGTAATGTAATGTAATGCAATGCAATGCAATGGAATGTAATGTAATGTAATGCAATGCAATGTAATGTAATGTAATGTAGTGTATGTATGTACATATGTAGGTGTACGATACACAACTACTGTCTACAGTGTCTACTCCTGAGAATGTGACATCACTGTGGACAGAAGCTCTACCCCAGGCTCGTCGAACAGTTGGAAAGAAGCTCCAGGCAACCACGCAGCCTGTTCCAGCAGGATGCTTACTCACAGATACACACGGTATCAACGCCTGATGCAGGGCATACTCCATTCCTTATCATTCCATGCATTCTACGAACCCATGAAGCTCCAGGTTTTTATATCTTTCATAGCTCATTGATGCTAGGTGGGACGTTTTGGATGGCTTTTGTTTCGAGGTTGCACAAGCATCCTTTGATCCGAGCACAGTCCGCAACAGCGTGCAGATCGGTCCATGCCTTGGGCTCCAAGAAAGAAGATAAAGAAGGTCGTATCATGTCGTATCACATCTTCGATTTGGATTGTTGACATCGATGAGAGTTCCACAGGTTTTGCAAGGGTACTTCTTCAATACCTTATTTTGTGATATTTTGTGATATTTTGTGTGGAAAATACATCGCCAGCATCTTTGACGTGTCACCTGTCAAATCCTGTCATCTTGGCTGTCAATGTTTATTTTCGTTGTCGCTGCGCTGAGGCCTTCGCATTTCCTCCACTCTGCGCTCTGAGAAGGGCCGTGAGTCCAAGTCGTTGGAACCTGAGAACATGACTGTAACATGACACCAAAGATCTTTGATAATAAGATATCGATAGATATCGTAAGTTATTTTTTTGTTGATTAGTTTACACCTTAGTTTACCAAAGACATGTTTATGCACCATTTTGATAGAGCTTCAGCAAGTTCAAGACGGTTTCATAATGTTTAAACAGAACTTGCAGTGAACCTAGACCAGCAAGACCCTGGAATGTACCGTGTCAGACTTGTCAGGCCATCCTCCCTTGAAGGCTCTGACATGAGTGCCCTTCGTAATTGGTGCAATGGTCATGTGGTGAAGTGTCTTCTAAAGTCTGAGAACTTGGCAAAGCATTCAAAGCCACTTTTTTAAAGCGCTCGATACGCACTGGTCGTGCTTTCCTGGCTTCAACATAGTCCAGCTTGTCAACTGCAATTTCTTCGGTTGGCATGTCTTGGAACGATGTGTGTGTGATGTCAGCAAAGGCAATTATTGAGTAGCTTTGGAGCATCAAAATCTTTCCGTCGGGGGGAAAACCACGCCAGCAGTTGTGAGCGTTTTGAAAAAAATGTCGTTTTCGCCATGGCGAAACTATTGATTCATTCCACAAAATAGGCTTAAATTTTCCCGGGAATTTGAAGTGCATTTTTGATGATGTCCTGTAATTTACAGGGAGTTTGCTCTTGAAAACGCGCGCGATGTTTTCCTCCTCTCACATCGCCATGCGCTTCTTCAAAGAGCGACCAGCGACCTCCAAAAGGTTTTTTGATTTGGAATTCATCCAACGCCATTGCCACACCCTGATGCTTCGCATCAGTTTTGGGTTCACATGGCTGTTGAGTCTGGTCGCAAGACTACATGGTATGGCCGATTTTATGAAACATAGCACTCTGAATGTATGAAAACCAAATCACAACATGAAGCTTAGTGTCGACATGTTACAAGGTCTTGTTTCTGTTTTACATCTGTATCAACATCTGTGCGCATCGTATATGTATATATATATATACACATATAATTATGATGCCAGAAAGCAAAACCCGGACGTGACGTAGCATGTGCATGTGACGCAAGTTAACATGAACGTTAACACACCCCACCCCCCCAACCCAAGACGTGACGTAGCATGTGCATGTGACGCAAGTTAACATGAACGTTAACACACCCCACCCCCCCAACCCAAGACGTGACGTAGCATGTGCATGTGACGCAAGCAAACATGAACGTTAACACACCCCACTCCCCCCAACCCAAGACGTGACGTGGCATGTGCATGTGGCGCGAGTTAACATGAACGTTAGCACACCCTACCCCCCAATCAAGACGTGACGTAGCATGTGCATGTGACGCAAATAAACATGAACGACGTGACGTAGCACACGCCACTAACACACCCCCAACCCAAGACGTGACGTAGCATGTGCATGTGACGCAAGTTAACATGAACGTTAACACACCCCACCCCCCCAACCCAAGACGTGACGTAGCATGTGCATGTGACGCAAGTTAACATGAACGTTAACACACCCCCCCCCCAACCCAAGACGTGACGTAGCATGTGCATGTGACGCAAGTTAACATGAACGTTAACACACCCCACCCCCCAACCCAAGACGTGACGTAGCATGTGCATGTGACGCAAGTGAACATGAACGTTAACACACCACCCCCCCAACCCAAGACGTGACGTAGCATGTGCATGTGATGCAAGTTAACATGAACGTGAACACACCCCCTCCCCTCAACCCAAGACGTGACGTAGCATGTGCATGTGATGCAAGTTAACATAAACCTGAACACACCCCACCCCCTCAACCCAAGACGTGACGTAGCATGTGCATGTGACGCAAGTTAATGTGCATGACGCAAGTTAACGTTAACACACCCCACCCCCCAACCCAAGACGTGACGTAGCATGTGCATGTGATGCAAGTTAACATAAACCTGAACACACCCCACCCCCTCAACCCAAGACGTGACGTAGCATGTGCATGTGACGCAAGTTAACATGAGCGTTAACACACCCCACCCCCCAACCCAAGACGTGACGTAGCATGTGCATGTGATGCAAGTTAACATAAACCTGAACACACCCCACCCCCTCAACCCAAGACGTGACGTAGCATGTGCATGTGACGCAAGATGAACGTTGACAGACCCCACCCCCCGACCCAGTAACATATGCGTGTTTTCAAAAACTTGCACGACTACTGGCGCGCTTTGCCCCCCGCTGGCAAAAACTTGTTGCCCTCAGAATTTGACAACTATTCTTCAACACCCTGCTGGGGCTGCAGCCAGCGAAGGGTGTGAAGAGACAACATGGATCAAACCACCTTGATCCCATTCAGGTCTTGGTGACTAGGGCTTTGCTGAACAGAGCATTCTCTGTCAGAGACTGGCAGCTGACCCGTAGTAGCTGACCTCACCTGGCAGGTACAGGTTTACGCATTCAAGCAAATGAATTCAGAGAATAATGGCCCGGAGCCTATTCATTTGAAGTAGAAATACATTGTACAACACATTGTAAAGGACAAAGTTGAAAGTCAAATGTTTAGCCTGAAAATCCCTCAGGCTCAAGAACGGATTACACTAATTTCCGATCAATCCCCAGCCTGGTGAAGACCTCAGTTGAGCTCTGGTCCTTCAGAGAGGAAAAACATTTCACAGATCATCACAGTACAGGATGTACAAATATTTGTTTAAAAACAAGTGAAGTTTGCTCAAATTACACAGCAAAATTCTTGCGACCATGCTCGCACCTGCCGAGGTTTGTTTGTTGGACATTGTCTTGCAGACTGAGCCATGATCCGGGGTAGTTGAGCTATTCTAGCCAGAAACGGAGGCAGACAAACCCGGAATAATCCAGAATCAGAAGTCAACAGGAGCTGGACAAGACAGAGCTGTGCCAACGAGTTGTATGTCTGCGTGTCCTTTCAGGGCAACCCAAATCCTTAAAGATATGTTGAAGGCTGGGATATTCTAGACTAGACTATTCCCGTTTTTGTTTTAGTATGAAGCACCCACACATGGTTTCTGCATGTGCCTCATCTCAGATGAGACGTAGAACGTGATGGGTAGTGCTGCAAACTTCTCAGAGTTGGAACATACGTCTCAAAGTCTGTCATGACTCAACTTTCGGTGCAGAAAGAATTCCGGACTTCAGTTCCAGGGTGGCTAAGCACAGCTTAAGCATGCTGCGCGGAGTCAAGTATAAGTAGCAAGTAGCAAGCCAGTCTGTATGATTTAGAAAAAATAGAGAGTTTTTAGATTCTTTTACGAGGCAGTTGTCAGCTTTTGGAACTTTGCACTACGGAGATCATCAGACATCTCCGACGAATCCACGACCAATCTACGACGAATCTACGATTCTAGAGGCTTATCAGATGGCTTGTCTGTCTTTGTTTTTGGCATCCACAGCTGGCAGTGCCGGGAGGGGCTCTGGCAGCGGCTGCGGTCGACTGCTGGGGCATATGGCGCACCCTCTCCTGATGGGTCCGCAACTTAGCACAGCATACAACATAAGACAGCACAGTCCACCGATTTGACTTCCAACCATACAACTTCTTGCACAGTAATTTAGATTGCAGACGTTCAAAACACCTTTCATGATGTTTTTGGTAAGCGCCAATAGGAGAAAGACGTCGTGCATTGTTTAATGTGGCGTGTGTTTTCATTTGTCCATGCATCTAAGACTGTTTAGAGTCTAGTGCTTTTGATATTTCCACATTTGCTTGCGGTGGCTTACGTCAATCGCCACTCGCTCAGGCTGCCTGCTGGGCATGGCTGCCTCAAAGGCAAGCATTCTGCCAACAGAAGTGAGTTTTTTTTATGTTTCCGATTGACATTTCCATTCAACAGACAGGTCATACTAGTAAAAAGAATCAGTTTTGCACGCCCGACAGCCACAGATAATATCTATTCTCTAGCCGTTTATGAAATTCAGTAGATTGCTTTTTATTGTTGCTGTCAAAGGCAGGATGCAGACATTTGCTGCAGAGTACCTACACCGGAGTTGCAGGGTCGTGCTTTTGCACCTGTGGCTACGATTATCTGTTCTGCTGGACTGGCTGCTCTTGGACACCATATATGTTTTATTTTTTTTACTACATTACATTCGTATCTAATACCGGGATCTTGTGGGGCTTTGGACTGGAATGTAGATTCGGTCACAGCATCAGAACATGTCAGAACCAGGATGTAGCCAGACACAGCAATGGCAGTATATATATTTGGAGATTTTCGAAACCTTCCCCTTGCGGGCGTGCAAAGCAAAGCAAGCATTCCAACTGCAGTGATCCCCCTTTGCATTGCCTGAAAGAGGCAGGCCTTCCGCGTGGATTTGCAAGTGATCCAGCTTTCCACTACTGTATCCAAAATATCTACTTGCAACTTGGAACATCCAAATCTTGTACTTTAAATGAGGAGCATCCTGGTTTCACTGTGCCCACCTATTGTCGAAATTTCGAAAGCTGGAACGCTCAGGCAGAACTGGTTTCAGAGGCGACACCTTTCAAATCGCCACTCTATATCTCTACATAGTATGTCCCAGCGCAACACATAGAACAGAAAAGTTCTTGGGCTTTGCCATGCTGCTTTGAAGTTGCATGAACTTAGCTGTACGAACTTATGCTCGAGGTATCTCGAGGTATTTCTGCAAGCTTTCTTGACAGGTCCACCAATGATACTAAGCGCATGGTGTTGATTGCTTTCTGACGGTTTAGAGATGAAGAATGATGGATATGTGAAAATTTGAGAGCACATCAGCTGATGTTCTGTGCAGGACTGACTCCTGGGTGTGCTCAGCACTTCCGCTGATGCAGCAGACAGGGAGCGCCCACAAGTCACCACAAATCACCACAGATCCTAGGTTCATGTAGGTACCATAACCCTTCCAAACCTGTCCAATATTCTTCTAATACAATACATGTGCCCAGAAACAATCGCAAACAGGTGTTGTTGGTCCTTGACGTCCTTGACGTCCAGCAGGGATTGTTTAAAGCTGTCCCTTTATCTTGGAAGACTGATAGTAGGCCCAAAGGGCTTTGTACAGTAGAGGGCTTGGTACGGATACAAGACGTGTCGACTAAAGATGGCTTCGGTGCTCAGTTCGCACGTGATGACTGATCTTTTTGCCAACTGAATGTTCGAGATGGACCATGATTTTGATTGTTCTGGCATGATCGTTTAATGTTGTAGTCAATAAGCTGATGGAAGTGACACATTGTATTATTTATTGAAATGACTCTGGTGCTAGTCAGGTCCCAGTCAGCCTCGTCAGCCTGGTCAGCCTAGTCAACCTAGTCAGCTGAGCGCGAATTTTCTGATCTCTGTGGCTGCAGTCTGCATTTTCCCTCCTGCATTTCTCCACCGCCCGCGGTCCGCGGTTCAGCCCTCTGAGATGGCTCCAGTCCGGTTTCTCTCAACGTCGCTCGGAGACAACTTGTGTTGGTCACCGCAAGCTGCTATTCAGCTGAGACATTTTGAAAATGTCGTCTTCAAGGTAGAGTTGCTACAGGTCAAGTGGGTAGAGGGTTAAGGCATGTTGAGGACGTATTTTGGGCGCTCAGGCCAAGCCAGCCTCAAAGCCAACCTCAAGTCCATGCAGCCGAAGCGATGCGACCATTCACCAATGAGACTCTTGGCCAAGACTGCACCAAGCATAGGAGTGATCCTTTGCCTTGATTTGCCAATGAAACTGCAATGCATTTGGACCTTTACCAGTAGTACCGCACAAGGCGGTGGCGGGAGTTTCAAAAATAGGAAACCTGTAGGAGAGGTTGGTTGTGAATCAGGGATGGCAGAGCGAAGCCACTGATGGACTGAAAGGTGCTTGATCTCTCTCTCTCTCTCTCTTTCTCTCTTTTTCTCTCTGTTTCTCTCTCTTTCTCTGATTATCCACCTACCTACCTACCTACCTACTGATCTATCTATCTATTCTATCTATCTATCTATCTACCTATCTACCTATCTACCTTGGATCAATCTCTTGCCTCTATCAGTGTTTTGGCCTTTACAAGATTTTACAAGTGTATACCATTTTGAGGTTGTCAGACAAATGCCAGGCCAGAAACTCATCCCCAGAGGCGACACGTGTCAGATACTTGTACCCCTGATGCTTTGCCCATCTAAGTGAAGACACATCTTCAAATATGGCACACACACATAATCACATACATATAATCACATGTATATGATATTATTATTATTGTTATTATTATAATATATACATTTTTATTTTTACATACATACATACATGCATGCATCCATCCATCCATCCATACATCCATACATCCATCCATCCATTCATACATACAGACAGGCAGACATACATACAGACAGACAGACATACATACATACAGACATACAGACATACAGACATGCAGACATACAGGCATACATACAGACATCAAGACATACAGACATACATACAGATAGCAGACATACATACATACAGACATGCATACAGACATACAGACATACATACAGACAGACAGCCATGCATGCATACATGCATACATGCATAGATACATGCATACATAGATAGATAGATAGATTAGATTAGATTAGATTAGATTAGTTTAGATAGATAGATAGATACATAGATAGATAGGTAGATAGATAGGTAGATAGATAGGTAGATAGATAGGTAGATAGATAGATACATACATACATACATACATACGTGTGTATGTGTGCGTGTGTGCATCTGTGCGTATGCATGCATGTATGCATGCATGCAATGCAAGGCAATGCAATGCAATGCAATGCAATGTAATGTATTGTAATTATGTATGTATGTATGTAATGTATGTAATGTAATGTAATGTAATGTAATGTAATGTAATGTAATGTAATGTAATGTAATGTAATGTAATGTAATGTAATGTAATGTATGTAATGTATGTATGTAATGTAATGTAATGTAATGTAATGTAATGTAATGTAATGTATGTATGTATGTATGTATGTAATGTATGTAATGTATGTAATGTATGTAATGTATGTAATTAATGTATGTAATGTAATGTAATGTAATGTAATGTAATGTAATGTTATGTATGTTATGTAATGTATGTAATGTATGTAATGTATGTAATGCATGTAATGCATGTAATGCATGTAATGTATGTAATGTATGTAATGTATGTAATGTATGTAGTGTATGTAAAGTATGTAAAGTATGTAAAGTATGTAAAGTATGTAATGTATGTAATGTATGTAATGCTTGTAATGTATGTAATGTATGTAATGTATGTAATGTATGTAATGCATGTAATGCATGTAATGCATGTAATGCATGTAATGCATGTAATGCATGTAATGCATGGAATGCATGGAATGCATGTAATGCATGTAATGCTATGTAATGCTATGTAATGCTTGTAATGCCATGTAATGCGATGTAATGCGATGTAATGCCATGTAATGCCATGTAATGCCATGTAATGCTATGTAATGCTATGTAATGCTATGTAATGCTATGTAATGCTATGTAATGCTATGTAATGCTATGTAATGCTATGTACTGCCATGTACTGCCATGTAATGCCATGTAATGCCATGTAATGCCATGTAATGCCATGTAATGCCATGTAATGCTATGTAATGCCATGTAATGCTATGTAATGCTCTGTAATGCTCTGTAATGCTCTGTAATGCTATGTAATGCTATGTAATGCTATGTAATGCTATGTAATGCTATGTAATGCTATGTAATGCTATGTAATGCTATGTAATGCTATGTAATGCTATGTAATGCTATGTAATGCTATGTAATGCTATGTAATGCTATGTAATGCTATGTAATGCTATGTAATGCTATGTAATGCTATGTAATGCTATGTAATGCAATGTATGTAATGTATGTAATGTATGTATGTATGCTATGTAATGCTATGTAATGCTATGTAATGCTATGTAATGCTATGTAATGCTATGTAATGTATGTGCAATGTATGTAATGCTATGTAATGCTATGTAATGCTATGTAATGCTATGTAATGCTATGTAATGCTAATGTATGTAATGTATGTAATGCTATGTAATGCTATGTAATGCTATGTAATGCTATGTAATGCTATGTAATGCTATGTAATGCTATGTAATGCTATGTAATGCTATGTAATGCTATGTAATGTATGTAATGTATGTAATGTATGTAATGGATGTAATGCATGTAATGCCATGCTAACTGCCTATGTAATGCTAACTGCTATGTAATGCTATGTAATGCTATGTAATGCTATGTAATGTATGTAATGCTATGTAATGCTATGTAATGCTATGTAATGCTATGTAATGCTATGTAATGCTATGTAATGCTATGTAATGCTATGTAATGCTATGTAATGCTATGTAATGCTATGCAATGCTATGTAATGCTATGCAATGCTATGCAATGCTATGCAATGCTATGCAATGCCAATGCAATGCTATGCAATGCTATGTAATGCTATGTAATGCTATGTAATGCTATGTAATGCTATGTAATGCTATGTAATGCTATGTAATGTATGTAATGCTATGTAATGCTATGTAATGCAATGTAATGCAATGTATGTAATGTATGTAATGTATGTAATGTATGTAATCTATGTAATGTATGTAATCTATGTAATGCTATGTAATGTATGTAATGCTATGTAATGCTATGTATGCTATGTAATGCTATGTAATGCTATGTAATGCTATGTAATGCTATGTAATGCTATGTAATGTATGTAATGCTATGTAATGTATGTAATGTATGTAATGTATGTAAATGTAATGCATGTAATGTATGTAATGGATGTAATGCATGTAATGTATGTAATGCTATGTAATGCTATGTACTGCTATGTAATGCTATGTAATGCTATGTAATGTAATGCTATGTAATGCTATGTAATGCTATGTAATGCTATGTAATGCTATGTAATGCTATGTAATGCTATGTAATGCTATGTAATGCTATGTAATGCTATGTAATGCTATGTAATGCTATGTAATGCATGTAATGTATGTAATGTATGTAATGTATGTAATGCATGTAATGTATGTAATGCTATGTAATGCTATGTATGCTATGTAATGCTATGTAATGCTATGTAATGCTATGTAATGCTATGTAATGCTATGTAATGCTATGTAATGCTATGTAATGCTATGTAATGCTATGTAATGCTATGTAATGCTATGTAATGCTATGTAATGCTATGTAATGCTATGTAATGCTATGTAATGTATGTAATGTATGTAATGTATGTATGTATGTACGTATGTATGTACGTATGTGCACACATACATATACACATATACACGTATACACACATATGTATATATATATATAGTTAATTATAATTAATAATGTATATTTCTATATCTCCACATTTGCATGTGTGTGTATATACATAGGTATAACTGTATATATGGTCTCGTGTTCCGTGTTCCTACCCCCCCAGGTAGCACCCTCTTCCTTTCTATTTGCAAGCTATTGGCAGCATTTCTGAGGTCTAGCCTCGTATTTGCTAGGTCTTTGCAGCATTTCGGACTACAAGCCTCGCATTTACTAGGTGCATGCTACCTTTTAGACGACCTACGTAGCACACATACTCCCCCGTTCATCCATGACCGATGACAAGTTTGTGTGACTCATGCACATACCGTGCCATTTGGGGTAGGGGCGAATGCGACCCCTGTCCTTTGCCATAGTGCCCTCTGACCGCCTTCAGCAGCGAAACCAATAGAAGAATAAGCGAGGGAGGAATGAAAGAAGGAACAGAAACTGACAAAAGAAAGTCATCTTTTTGAATCTTTTTGATAGATAGCTTCGATTGACAGACAGATCTGGGATTTGGGTTCCGATGCAAAAGATTGTGGACGTTCAATGAGATTCAAACAAATGCAGCAATTGACATGCGGTGCACTGATGTAATTACACTGTCAATGACATGCAATAAATGTCCGTTACTCGAGGATTTCAATGCTCTTCTCCTCCGGTGCTTCTGGAGGAAATCAGCGTCGGATCCTTTGTTATGGTGACAGCTTGACAGGACAGACAGGGTCATGAACATGGATGGATTCATGGAAGTGTCGGCTTTCATGAAACAATAGCAGAGAGCTGGGTTGCGAGGAAAAACTGTTGCTGCTGTTGAAGAAATAAGTCACGAAAGCTAGCGGTAGCTAGCTGAGTTACTCTTGCTTCAGCAAGGGGGGTCTGAGTCCAACACAGTGATTTTTCACTTGAACCCCCCCTCCCCCCGCCTAAGCTCCCGGGGCATTTTGAAGCAGTCTCGGAAGCAGATGGTCATGGGCTCAAATCCTGCCAGGGCCGTCGTCCCTTTGTAACTCTCTAGCTCAGGATTTGTTGAGTTTGCTGTCCAGTTGATGCCCGCCGAAACGTGCCGCAGCTAGCAGCTGCAAAGGTCAGTCACTAATTATGGCAACTATATGATATATGGTTTATTGCCAGTTACTTCTATGATTATAAATAACGGGATTATAATTCCATAATTGGGGTGACTTACTGACCACTAACTGCATTGGCATGACAGTCTGTCTTTGGGACTTGCGAAGCCGTTCTCGTCATTGAAAAGCAAGGCCATTGCAAACAGAACTGCCGTCAACTGACTTTTTACTGCTGTAAAATGCAAGTTACATACTGTTTCTTCCATAATTGGGGTGACTTACTGACCACTAACTGCATTGGCATGACAGTCTGTCTGTGGGGCTTGCGAAGCCGTTTTAGTCATTGAAAAGCAAGGCCATTGCCAACAGAACTGCCGTCAACTGACTTTTTACTGCTGTAAAATGCAAGTTACATACTGTTTCTTCCATAATTGGGGTGACTTACTGACCACTAACTGCATTGGCATGACAGTCTGTCCTTGGGACTTGCGAAGCCGTTCTCGTCATTGAAAAGCAAGGCCATTGCAAACAGAACTGCCGTCAACTGGCTTTTTACTGCTGTAAAATGCAAGTTACATGCTGTTTCATGGAAACATAAACGCTTATAACTGGAACTGCAGCCCCAAATATGGCCCAGATTACATGTTGTTCGACTGGAACTCTTCCGCAACAATTCCGTCACCAGAACATTAAACTCGATGGAGTTCTTTCTCACTCAGGTCAACACTGTGTCGGTTTGAGCCCCATCAAAAATTGGCTCGGGCCCAAACTTTATAGATTCACCATCTTCTTTGGTTAAGGTATGTTCAGATGTTTTACGACTTGCAACGGAAGCTTACATGTTGCTCGGGTGCGCAAGATGCCTCACCCGGACATTAGGCTCGATATAGTTCTTTCTGACTCGGGTCAAGACTCTGTAGATTTGAGCCCCGTCGAAAATTATAATTTTGGATGGGGCCCAAACTTTATACTGTCACCATCTTCTTTGGTTAACATGTTTTAAGATTGAAAACGGAAGCTTACTTGTTGTTGGGAGGGAACTCTTTCGCAAGATGCCTCACAAGAACATATATGAGCTCCATAAGTTCTTTCTAACTCAGGTCAACACTGTGTAGATTTGAGCCCCATGGAAATTATAATTTTGGATGGGGCCCAAACTTTATAGAGTCACCATCTTCTTTGGTTCAGATGCTTTACGACCCAAACTTTATCGAGTCACCATCTTCTTTGGTTCAGATGTTTTACAACTTGCAACGGAAGCTTGCATGTTGTTCGGGTGCGCAAGATGCCTCACCCGGACATTAGGCTCGATATAGTTCTTTCTGACTCGGGTCAAGACTGTGTCAATTTGAGCCCCATCGAAAATTATAATTTTGGATGGGGCCGGGGCCCAAACTTTACAGGGTCACCATCTTCTTTCGTTCTGATGTTTTACGACTTGCAACGGAAGATTACTTGTTGTCGGGATGGAACTCTTCCGCAACAAGTCCGTCACCAGAACATTAAACTCGATGGAGTTCTTTCTCACTCAGGTCAACACTGTGTCGGTTTGAGCCCCATCGAAAATTGGCTCGGGCCCACACCTCATAGATTCACCATCTTCTTTGGTTAAGGTATGTTCAGATGTTTTACGACTTGCAACGGAAGCTTACGTGTTGTTCGAGTGCGCAAGATGCCTCACCAGGACATTAGGCTCGATATAGTTCTTTCTGACTCGGGTCAAGACTCTGTAGATTTGAGCCCCGTCGAAAATTGTAATTTTGGACGGGACCCAAACTTTATAGAGTCACCATCTTCTTTGTTTCAGATGTTTTACGACCCAAACTTTATAGAGTCACCATCTTCTTTGGTTCAGATGTTTTCCGACCTGCAACGGCAGCTTACATGTTGTTCGCGTGCGCAAGATGCCTCACCACAACATGGGGCTCCATAGCGTTCTTTCTGACACAGGTCAAGACTGTGTACATTTGAGCTCATGGAAAATTATAATTTTGGATGGGGCCCCAAATTTTGTCCGGTCACCATCTTCTTTGCTTCAGATGTTTTACGACTTGCAACGGAAAATTGCATGTTGTTCCAATCTTGCGCAAGCCGCAAGCTGCCTCGCCAGAACATTTGTCTCGATCTGGTTCTTTCTGACTCAGGTCAAAACTGTCTTTGAGCCCCATCGAAAATTCTAATTTTCGATGGGGCCCAAACTTTGTAGAGTCAACATTTTCTTTGTTTCAAATGTTTTACGGCTTGCAACGGAAGCTTACATGTTGTTCGGGTGCGCAAGATGCCTCACCAGCACATTAGGCTCGATATAGTTCTTTCTGACTCGGGTCAAGACTGTGTCGATTTGAGCCCCATCGAAAATTATAATTTTGGATGGGGCCCAAACTTTACAGGGTCACCATCTTCTTTCGTTCTGATGTTTTACGACTTGCAATGGAAGATTACTTGTTGTTCGGCTGGCACTCTTGCGCCAGATGCCTCACCAGAACGTTAGGCTCGATATAGTTCTTTCTGACACACGTCAACAGGGTGTGCTTTGAGCCCCATCGAAAATTCTACTTTTGGATGGGGCCCAAACTTTATACTGTCACCATCTTCTTTGGTTAACATGTTTTTTAAGATTGGAAACGGAAGCTTACTTGTTGTTGGGATGGAACTCTTTTGCAAGATGCCTCACCAGAACATAGAGCTCCATAAGTTCTTTCTAACTCAGGTCAACACTGTGTAGATTTGAGCCCCATGGAAATTATAATTTTGGATGGGGCCCAAACTTTACACAGAGTCACCATCTTCTTTGGTTCAGATGCTTTACGACTTGCAACGGAAAATTGCATGTTGTTCCAATCTTGCGCAAGCTGCCTCACCAGAACATTTGTCTTGATCCGGTTCTTTCTGACTCAGGCCAAAACTGTCTAGATTTGAACCCCATCGAAAATTTTAATTTTGCATGGGGCCCAAACTTTGTAGAGTCACCATCTTCTTTGGTTCAAATGTTTTACGACTTGCAGCGGAAGCTTACATGTTGTTCGGGTGCGCAAGATGCCTCACCAGCACATTAGGCTCGATATAGTTCTTTCTGAGCCGGGTCAAGACTGTGTCGATTTGAGCCCCATCGAAAATTATAATTTTGGATGGGGCCCAAACTTTACAGAGTCACCATCTTCTTTCGTTCTGATGTTTTACGACTTGCATGATGTTTTACGACTTGCAATGGAAGATTACTTGTTGTTCGGCTGGCGCTCTTGCGCCAGATGCCTCACCAGAACGTTAGGCTCGATATAGTTCTTTCTGACACACGTCAACAGGGTGTGCTTTGAGCCCCATCGAAAAGTCTTCGTTTGGATGGGGCCCAAACTTTATACTGTCACCATCTTCTTTGGCTAACATGTTTTAAGACTGGCAACGGAAGCTTACTTGTTGTTGGGATGGAACTCTTTTGCAAGATGCCTCACCAGAACATAGAGCTCCACAGGTTCTTTCTAACTCAGGTCAACACTGTGTAGATTTGAGCCCCATGGAAAATTATAATTTTGGATGGGGCCCAAATTTTGTCCGGTACCAAGAGCTTCTAACAGATTGGCAGTGGGCCCAATAGAATTCTTTGATCTTCGGTCCAATCAAAAACACTTCTGGATAGGGCCCCAACTTTTTCCAATACCCATGTTCTTGGCTTCACATGTTATAGGAATGCAAGCTGAAAATTACACTTCTTCTTTGAAACAATTTTGAATCCTTCCATATGGATCACTGTCGTCTACCCTTCCCTGAATGTTTCCAAGTTCAACCCACCTAGTTCCACATTCATATGACCTTTGGCTTTCGTTCACCCCCCTGGGCCTCAAGTCCAGCCCTGTCGCTCTTACAGACATTTGCAGATTCAAAACACAGATTCGAGGTTGCAGCTATGCAGACTTTGGAACTCACTGTGGAGGCTTGTGGCTGCCTCATTCACAGGCCAACGGCCACACAGGGATCATGAATCGAAATAGGGGGTGCGGGTGACCAAAGTCGCAGTTTGAGAGCTCGACTGTGCTGTGAAGTAAAGCCACGACTGATATTCCCTGCAAAGTCTTTGTCTTTTGGATACGATCGCACTTGCGCAGGTTCGGGAGGTAGCGAGAGGAGTTTTAGAGTTCTTGGCTTCTGAGTCCAGCCTGACTGCTGTGGCCCAAGATGTGGCGCAGGACCGAGTCTGCATCCTTTTCGAAGTGTCGAACGCATTAGACTCATTAGACGCATTAGGGTGCATTAGGCAGATCCACGCAACTGTTCGTTCTTAAGGGTTTCTTGTGCATATCATGGACTCTTGTGCTTTTCCAACCTGCAATTTGGTGTGTGTTGCTCAAGCGAGTAGAACGGAAATACTAGTTCAGCTGAGCGCTGGTTTGTGAAGATGGCGCAAGATGCTTTGAACAGCTCTTCCAACACCAAAGCCACCTCTCTGATGTTCAAACTCTCATGCAAGATGTCCCAGGGTGGCTTTTTGGAGCAGTTGCACCAGCTATGTGGAATTTCCATGTACGAGTACAACTTTGTCCATCTTCCATGGAAGCAACTGGCCATTGTGAACTTCACCAGCACAGCGATCTGTGATCATTGTTTTCAGGTGATGAAACAGGCTGCGGGAGCTCCAGGTGTTTGTGTTGCAAATCTGCAAGCAGGACTGCACCAAGGTTTGGCGGCAAACTTGGCATACTTCTGTGCCAAGTGTTGCCAGCAGAGTGACTACAAGACTCTGCCGATGATTTTGGTAAATGGAAAGGAAGTGCCTTTGGGGCTGGCCTGCGATCTCTTTGTTAGCAATGATTTGCTCGTCCAATACTTGGAGCACTTGCCAACACGTGGCAAGATGGCAGAGAAGAAGGGCAAGAGCTACCAGCCTCGAACTGGTCAGATGCTCTACGGCAATCAGGGTTCAAAACCCGATCGGCCGCATTGCAACCTGCTACGCGACCAGCTCAAGACGGGCATCCCCGTGGAGGCTGCCGATCAATGTTACGATGTCGAAGGAGTTTCCGCCATCGTCTTCAGTCTCTGAGAGCATGCTTTTCAAAACAGGGTCGAAGACCGGGCCAAATCCCCATGCTTGTGAAGCTGTAGCCAGAAAACAACACTGGCAATGTGGGTTGGCGTCTTTTGGGCATCTTTTGGAATTCTTGAAGGTGCTCGGTTTGATCTGGAGCCTGCTGCGACTTGTAGGTTTCAGGAGTTCTCACACAGCAACCTCCTTGGAGACTGCAACACGTTGGAGCAGTGATTCAAAAAGTAGGGCGAGTTGTTTCTGAGTGACTTCGGAGCCATGTGCTCACAAAACTTCTCGTGGCCATTGGCCATGGCCATATCTGATCAAAGACTAAATGTATAATACTTGAAGTAATTCTTTTTCTGTTTTGCAAATTTAGTTTTGGGTCGCGAGGAGCTTCCCGCCAGAAGAGCTGCTGCTGCTGCAGTGCAGATTCATTGGTGATGATTACTGCGAGTATCTCCCTGGAAGAATCATCGTAAAGCGGCCATGCTCTGCCACCAGACTTGTTCTTGGTTTCCCTTTCACCATGTTTCAATGTCTTTAACCATCCGCAGAATTTCTTTGCTTCCACAGAATGCAATGAGAAAGCACTTCAAGCAGCTGTGCTGGTACTTTGCTTCGTTAAACTTCAGAATGCTTCATTGCCTGCATGTTCTTGCTAGCCTAGTTTTTCCAGCAGTCCTCAGGCACCACTACTTTGGTGGTGACAACAAGCATGGGTTGAAACTACAACTACACCGAGTGAAGTTGCAACAAGCTCAAGGGGGTGTGAGTGAAGTTGCACCAAGCTGAAGCGCGGCTTGCGATGTCTCTTGGCATCTTTTGTCACTAAGCGGACATGTGCTGGAGGCAAGAGATTTGGGCTTTGTAAAGTTCCAATTGCAGGCACCCAACGATGCAAGTCCATCCAATGTATAGAATCACTTAAACAAGCTTGCTTTGACGTCCAGCAGGGATTGTTTAAAGCTGTCTCTTTATCTTGGAAGATTGATAGTAGGCCCAAAGGGCTTTGTACAGTAGAGGGCTTGGTACGGATAGAAGACGTGTCGACTAAAGATGGCTTCGGTGCTCAGTTCGCACGTGATGACTGATCTTTTTGCCAACTGAATGTTCGAGATGGACCATGACTTTGATTGTTCTGGCATGATCGTTTAATGTTGTAGTCAATATAAGCTGATGGAAGTGACACATTGTTTTATTTATTGAAATGACTCTGGTGCTAGTCAGGTCCCAGTCAGCCTCGTCAGCCTGGTCAGCCTAGTCAACCTAGTCAGCTGAGCGCGAATTTTCTGATCTCTGTGGCTGCAGTCTGCATTTTCCCTCCTGCATTTCTCCACCGCCCGTGGTCCGCGGTTCAGCCCTCTGAGATGGCTCCAGTCCGGTTTCTCTCAACGTCGCTCGGAGACAACTTGTGTTGGTCACCGCAAGCTGCTATTCAGCTGAGACATTTTGAAAATGTCGTCTTCAAGGTAGAGTTTTGGGCGCTCAGGCCAAGCCAGCCTCAAAGCCAACCTCAAGTCCATGCAGCCGAAGCGATGCGACCATTCACCAATGAGACTCTTGGCCAAGACTGCACCAAGCATAGGAGTGATCCTTTGCCTTGATTTGCCAATGAAACTGCAATGCATTTGGACCTTTACCAGTAGTACCGCACAAGGCGGTGGTGGGAGTTTCAAAAATAGGAAACCTGTAGGAGAGGTTGGTTGTGAATCAGGGATGGCAGAGCGAAGCCACTGATGGACTGAAAGGTGCTTGATCTCTCTCTCTCTCTCTTTCTCTCTCTTTCTCTCTTTTTCTCTCTGTTTCTCTCTCTTTCTCTGATTATCCACCTACCTACCTACCTACCTACTGATCTATCTATCTATCTATCTATCTACCTATCTACCTATCTACCTTGGATCAATCTCTTGCCTCTATCAGTGTTTTGGCACACGTCCAATGTTGTCCTCGATGTTGTACGTGATGTTGTGAATTTGGCGTTTCGTTTTTCACGTAAATTTTGATGTTGTAAATTTGGCGTTTTTTTTCCTCACGTAAATTTTGATGTTGTAAATTTGGCGTTTTTTTTTCTCACGTAAAATTTGATGTTGTAAATTTGGTGTTTTTTTTTCTCACGTAAAATTTGATGTTGTAAATTTGGTGTTTTTTTCCTCACGTAAATTTTGATGTTGCAATTTTGGCGTTTTTTTCCTCATGTAAATCTTGATGCTGCAAATTTAATTTGGTGTTTTTTTTACTAATGTAAATTTTGATCTTGCATGTTTTGTTTCAAAAATGTGATGAATTGTTTCGTTGTGTAAGTTTGGGAATTCTTCATTGATTCAAGAAATGGAGTGGTTCATTTGGAGTGTGTCAAAGTCGTTGTACTGATTGAGGGCTTGAACTTGTCAATTTCACTGCTGACGTCGTCGACAGCGTTTTGAAATAAAACATTCTTTGCGCATGGTGTTGGAAAATGGCCGCATGCAACGGCTGATGTTGTATTTGAATTTGTTTGCAAAGTGTTGTGTGGGCTGGTGGTTGGATGATGTCCCCCTTGTGTTTTGCCGGACGTTGCCACCTGAAATTGGCGTAACCTGCGACATATCAAAACTGCGAAAATTGCGTTTTATGCAGTTGGATAAAGAACGTGAAAACGTGCCAGGATAGATCGTCCGATTGCTATCAACCAAACTGCATCTCGATATGCATGCTGCCCTTTGTTTACTAGTTGTCTTTATCAGGCTGTGACAAACTGAAAGCATCCGAAGGTCAAATGAGCCTGCTCAGACACATTTGAGCCAACATATGTTCAGACGCATTGGTCTAGCGCAGATCATTGACAGAGGAGTTTGGAACGGAACAAGTTTGCGGTTTTCATGCGCAGCATCAAGTAAGTAACTGTAACTGTTGTATTTTATGTTCATGCGTGTTTTTTGGTTAGTTGCGGCTTATGTTCCAATAAACACATGTTTTCGTGTGTATAATATAACGTGCATGTAGAACGACACATATGTTTTTAATACATGGGGGTGAGGACAACGCTGACAACATGGCGTAAAGAACAGGATCCACAAGCCAGATACGACAGTGCACGGAAAAAGTCCAAGCGAAAACCTTTTGACTAGAACAGTGTAAATCACCAGTCCCACAATCAAAACCGGCTTGTTTGTTGAAATATTTGTTTTTCCTCTACTTGCTCCGAAACCTCTGGTGTTTGCCGCAGTGTCGTTACACACAGACATCACTTGCACATATCTATCTTTCTTTCTGTCTTTCTTTCTCTTTCTTTCTCTTTCTTTCTGCTTACCTATCTACAGTATATATCCATCTATCTATTTATCTATCTATTGGCCTATCAATCCTTCTATCTACACATGTATTCGATGATGTAAGTTGACTTAGAAGAAAAATGCGGCTACATATTGAGATGGAAGCCGAAAGTGTAAAACCAATCATATAGGAGTCACCGAACGGTTCAAAACAGTTCAGGGGCACTCCGTGTTGGGTACCTCCGAACGGTTCAGAACGGTTCAGGGGCACTCCGTGTTGGGTACCTCCGAACGGTTCTGAACGGTTCAGGCGTTTCTTGCTCTTCCGAACTATTCCGAACTATTTCGAACTATTCCAAAACATCCCAGAATTAAGAGTGATGTTGGGTACCTCCGAACGGTTCTGAACGGTTCAGGGGTTCCCTTTGTTGGGTACCTCCGAATGGTTCTGAACGGTTCAGGGGTTCCCTTTGTTGGGTACCTCCGAACAGTTCTGAACGGTTCATGATCGCCCTTGGATATTAAAGTATTTTTGTAATCCCTAAAGCCAAAATCACACCACATCATGGCCCAATAAGAAACAGGCTTACTGTCTTAAAAGTTGAATCAAACGAAGAAGTAGCAAAAATCTCAATCGGATGTCCAACGCCAATCTTGAAATGGACAATAATTCATCGTCGTATATAAGATGCATTGGAAAAGTCTGTAGGGTTGATACCAACATAATCAAAGCAGCTGCCAAAAAGACCGCACACACAATCCTGCAACCGCCGGGAAGTCGCCTTTGCAGGAGCGCCGTCGGAACGCCAGAATGGCCCCGTGAAAAGGAGGACCAAAGCAAGAAACCCAGAAACCACGGGCCCGCCCCCGCAGGAACTGTCCAGGACAATTTTCAAGGGCGCACTGACAGCCTTGAACCGTTCGGAACCGTTCGGGGCACCCGTAACCAGTGCGAAATGGGGCACTGGCCTCTATCCTGCCGGACTGTTGGTGGCGACGTTGGCGCACACGCGCGCACGTGCACACCGCCGCCGAAGGTTTCTTACGTTCGCCGCTTGCCACTAAACCGCCGGCCGCGCATTCCAGGAAAGCGGCCGCAACTCAAGGTATGAGTGCAGAATTCAAACTCGGAAGTCCTAGTCTGGCGGTTGAAATTTCAAGTGCTCCCACATCGAAGTATTGTTTCAGCAGACCTTGAGCGCCGCCGCAGGTAGGACAAACGGTACACTTCAGAAAACTATCTTCCCAATATTTGTTTGCATGTAGACATGCAGCCATCGAGCAAATGCTTGGTGTATCTGTGCCTTGTGGAAGTCAGGTTTTCCATAGCTGAACCCACTCAAAAGGCCGCAGGCGCCCCCACTGGCACGTTGTTAAATGACCACAACCATTCTTGCACACAAGGGCAATGCAGCAATGACATGCTAGTTGGCCTGTTCATGTCAGGTGACACGGGCACGATCAATTGTCACTGTTTTTGTTTCTTCCGGCTGCAAATATTTTGAGGGCCGCCTCGCTAACATAAAGCTTGTCTTTCTGGCATGGTCTGGCATGGTATGGCAAGGTGCTTTTTCAGCGGCCATGACCCCGCTCAAGCAAAGAGCATGCAGGTCAACAAATTCTACAAGCATCCCAAAAGACTTCTTGGATTTTCTTGGCTCGCCTGACCCGGCATAAAAAGACAAGAGGAAGAGGGCACAGACCACAACAAAGCAAACTGCATGAAAGCAGAAAAATTGAAAAGAATCAATGGGAAATCCCAACACCGCGGAACGCGGCCTGCTGAGTTTCAATTTCTAGGTCTCGCGTATCTTCGCCGCTGAGCCCGAAAACAGGAACACAGCAGATAAAGGTTGCCAAGCTAAACCCATTTTCTGTGCAAGTCCCGAAAGCAAGTTGCCCGGTGCTGGGCTACCATGTTCCCCTTTGACACTCGGCTTTCTGCATCTATTTCTGGTCAGGAAGTTGGGATATTCCGCGCAGAAAACGGTTTCCAATTGCAGGAGCGGCTTCTGCCTACCACCTACAACTCACAGCTTGCCAGCGACCTGCCAATGACAAAGCCGGCTCAACAAAGTACCTGTAGCCAAAAAAATGCCACCAAGTTTGCATCAATATGAGCATGCCATACCAAGGACGCACGTGATATTGTTGAATCCTTCTAGAATACACAAAAACTCAAAATCCAGTCGATCGATGTGGCGGATGAAACTTGTGGGACATTTTGACTTGGAGCATTTTGACTTGGAGCATCCAGTGAAACCAATTATAGCACTCCATGCTTTGAAACAAATCACGACAGCAGTTCGTGATCGTCCTTCTTAACAAGACCCCAAGCACATGACACTTAATTTGTCAATGCTCACGAACATTAAAAACTGGTTGCCAATATTAGTACAATCGCTGTATTAATGCGCAGATGCATCACAATGTTTTAGCTGTCGCTTAAATCGCTTAATGTTATTAGATACAGTCTAAACCATACAAACAAATGCGTGCTACACATCAGAATTGTCACAATGATTGGAGGCACTGACAACAGCAATGTTAATACAGAGCAACCACAATTGCGACGTGAACAGCGGTGCCAATTACTCACTGACAGCGAACAGCTCAAACCACAGCAGCCAACATGAAAAAACAAGAAGACACCAACCACAAAAACCACCCAGAACAACAAACAGGAATGGGAGCATAAGACAAACATGTCCAAATCACAGCATCAACATCGATGTTATATAATCTTGACCTGAGCCTGAACCCAAAAAAGTGGCTTGCAACATCACAATTCCAGTGAGTGAAACATGTTTCAATAAATTGGGTTTACAAGGTCAAAATTTGCTTACGCCGAAAAAAAATGTTTACAACGTCAAAAATTATATAAGCAAAAAAATGCGATTTACAACGTCAAAATTTACGTAAACCACAAAAAAAGGGGTTTGCAACGTCAAAATTTATGTAAGCAAAAGAAAATGGGGGTTTACAACGTCAAAATTTACGTAAACAAAAAAAATCGGGGTTTACAACGTCAAAATTTACGTAAGCCAAAAAAAATTGGGGTTTACAACGTCAAAATTTAGGTTTAAAAAAAAACAGCAAAAAAAATCGGGGTTTACAACGTCAAAATTTGCGTAAAAAGATAAAATTCGGGGTTTACAACGTCACCGACAACGTCAACCAGAACCGGACACGTCAGCCGAAACACCCAGGGCCAATTATAGAGAAAGGTGTTTGAACAAATATCTACCTACCTATCTATCTATCTATCTATCTATCTATCTATCCATCTATCCATCTATCCATC